TGAACTAACTTACTTTAGTTACTGTGAAATCATTTTTATAATCCTTCTGTCTAAAAAAGTTGGAGGTAGCTAAAATCATTTTGGTGCACCTCCTGCAAGATCTTGAATTATTGAACAGTGGAGGAAGAGTGGCTGCACTGAGAAAAAGACAGATAGTGAGGGTATTTTCTTTGTTATTAAGAATATGGCTTGAAAGGAAGGCAGAAGCCCTGGAAACATCTGCAGGATTGTATCTTAGTGATGGGAGCGGTGGAAAAGACCAAAGCCAACTCACCAAAGATTGAAATATTTAATTGTGTAATATCAACATATGGAGATGCCAACTGAGCATGTAAGCAAGTTGCAGATGATGCCTTGTGGCACAGCACCTGGATCCCAGCTCACTCTCCCAGGTATTTAAGGCCTCTATTGAAATGGTACCTACAGGCTGTAGAGAGCGATGTGAGCTGGTGGTTACATAATACACTAAGATCAGGAGAAACAAAACCTATCAGAGCTTGCAAAGGATCTTTTTCTCAAAGGGGAATCACACTGCTTCTTCCCCAGCTGCGAGTAAAACAAATCTAACTAGCAATCTGGCAGTTCTCCACTTGATTCAAGAAACCCAAACTGCTGTCAGTAACCTCAGCACTCAGATCTTTAAGCCTCTCTTAGCTGATCAATTTGTCCCCTGCAGCAGTTCCTAAGTTCCTACTGCAGAAATTCCCACTGATGCCAGTAAGGCAAACACTAAACAATTACAGTCTGGCCTGCTGTTGAACCTGCTAACTAGGTGCTCATGATTTGGGGAGACATTTCTGTGTGTTTAGGGCACTGGCAGTTTTACAAGGCAGAACGTCTTTGCTCTTGGCCCAGGGGAGACTAGGCGGCTCCCCACCACCCGGCATTAAGAACAAAGGACTGACCTGACCAGTGACACCACGACTGGATCGAGAGTCCTCTGGAGTGCTGGCTCCAGAACACCACATGGAGTGGTATTGAAATACCAGTATTTTGTATTGTGAAGCTCTCCAAAGAGCCAGGACTATTTTAACTATGATTTTAAGTTCAGCTGTACTTGACTTTATAAAACGCAAGCAAACAAAAAATACACATAGGAATTATTGCAGGGTACTTCCCTGGTGTGACTCTTTTGCATTATACCTCTGCCATCTGTCCTCCCCACTGGATCTAGTAGGAAAATTCAGGTCTTTAGTCTTACCTGCTGCTCAAAGGAAGGCAACATGCAGGGTCTAGCAGGTTGCTCAGAACTTAATCCAGTGGGTCTTCTCCCAAGGTAGGAGAACGTACAACTTCTCTGGGCAATGTGTGTCACTGCTGGGTGTGAAGCATTATTATGTCTAGCTGGTGGGCAAAACCACGACAAGCCTGCACCTCCCTTTTCAACTTGTGGCCAACCTCCCACCACACATGACCATGGAGAGCCTGGACCCATGTCCTTTATGACCTTATGATGCTGGGGGGCTGCTGTGAGGTCCCCCAGTAGCCCTCTCTTCTTCAGGATGAACAAGCCCCGCTCTCTCTTCCTCTCTTCACAGGGCAAGTGCTCTGGCCCCCCACCACTGGGGTGGCCTTTGCTGGACCTGCTGCGGTTGGCCAATACCTTTCCTGTCAAAACTGGATGCAGCAGCTAGGTGTGGTTGGCTGAGTAAGGAAGAGCTGCTTCTGTTGATCTAGTGACCATGCTTGCTTCGCCCAGCTGGGAGGCTGTTGTCCCTCTATGCTGCCAGGACATGCCACCACCTCTTGCTCTTGGTGTGCAAGACCTGCGTCCCCTTCAGCACAGCTGCTCCCCAGCTCAGCATTCCCTGGCCTCTAGCACTGCAAGGGGCACTTCCAGCCCAGGTACCAAGCTCTGCACCTGTCCTTGAATTTCATAAAGGGTTCCTCTCAACCCGTTCCTGCAGTCTCTGCAGGTTGCCCTGAATGCCAGACCTTCCCTCCAGTGTACTGAGTGGTTCATGCCATTTGGCATCATTTGTAAACTTGGTGAGAGAGTTCTCAGTCTACTTCTCCAGGTCACCAACAAATTCATTTAACAGGAAAAGATGCAGGACAAAACCAGCTTTTGCGCAGGGCAAGACCCCTCAACCACTTCCACCTGATTCCCATCATTCAGACTTGTTACCTATTGAGTTCTTCACTAGAATTTTAATATTTTTAATATGATATTTATAATATCATAGAATCAATGGTTTGGGTTGGAAGGGACCTAAGAGATCCTGCGATGGACAGGGGCACCTTCCTCTAGACCAGGTTGGCTCAAAGCTCCATACAGCCTGGCCTTGAAATACATTCCCAGGGATGGGGCATCCACAGCTTCTCTGGACAACCTGTGACAGTGTCCCACTACCCCCTCAGTGAAGAATTTCTTCCTAGTATTGTATTAGTCAAATTGTATTCACTGGAATGTTTAGGACCTTTGCTATTCTTTGCAATACAAACTGTTCACTTACCTGCTAGATGTAAGGAACATCTAAGTTGCCCAAATCAAATCCAACGGTCAGGAGAAATCATGACATCCAGAACAATGCCTTATGCAGTATTTAAATCATACAATCATTTTAAAGAACTTTGCCACTATTTAAAACTAGAGTTGTTTATAGATGCAATACTTGCTATATTAAAAGAAAAAAAATCCATCTAATTAACCTCTCCTTGCATAAGTTAGTATATAAATAAGGAAACTATAATAGCACAGTAGAGGAGTTTTAACGTCTCATGAAGCTGTACAGCAATTACTCTGTACCATAACTAACTTGAAAAATCTCAAGAATATTACTTGGATGATGCTACAACTGTCAAAATTATATTTCTCATTCTAAGTATAGTTTTGTGATTTCCTAATAATAAAGGAAGTAGGTGTATTGCCATCCAGGCTGACAATTCAAGTTATTCATGAAAGGAGTTTCTCACTCTATGGTTCATGAACCATTAGCAATCAGTAAGACATCAAATCATGATTTAAAATTCCCTCCCTCCTACTCAATGCCTCCAGAGTAAAATACAAAAGCATATTTTAAATGTAGCTGAAAGCTTAAGCATTTGCAAATAGAAAACTTTGTTTGGGCAACATCCCAAAAAGCTCTGCCATTTTTTATTTTATATTTGCCTCATTTAAAAAAAGTTGGGTGCATGGATCTCAGCACAAATATGGTATGATGATGACAGAACAGTGCCACTTTTTCTTTAAAAGATTCGTAACTACATCCTATGTATCTATACCAGAGCAAAACTGAGTATAAACTCATTAAAGTGGATAAATTGGAGATATTGGGGTGGTGTATGTTGTTTGATCTTTCTTTTGACTTGTTTTCCTATTTACACAACATAATTAATTGAAGACCTGTAATTTACTTTGGCATTATTTTTGCTGTCTTGATCTGATTTGGAAAATTAGGTAAAAATAAATAAATAAAAATAAAATTTTAAAAAAAGTGTTAATTTTTAAAATTGTGCCCCAGTACAGATGCAAAATTCCACATAGGATCTTGAAAAGCAGTGTGTATGTGTATGAACATGTGTTGCTTAGATATACATGTACGTACACACACAATGAGAGCAATCCTTGAAATGACAAAGATAAAAAGTCCTAAGACTGTGTTGGTCATGATGCTGATTTACAAATACGCCTTTGCAACCTACACAACAAAACCTGCTGTTTATGACCCAAGAAACACAGTAGTTTTGTCATCATTCAACTAAAAAGTTCTGGAAGGTATTCCTGGTGATTTAGCGCCAGTCTACCATGCTGCTTGTCAAAGTCAGAGAGACTGGCAGACAGAAGTTCACAGAAGAGTGTGAATTAAGGAAAAGGCTTTAAAGCCCAACATGTGGGAAGTGAGGCTCCTAAGGAAGTCAGTAATAACCCCAGCTGGTGAATTTCTTCAAGTTGTTTTGACATCATTTCAAGGTCTTAAGCTGACCAGAGCCTGGTACTCAGGCCCAGGGATCTCGCAGGCTTTATGAACCTTCCATTTTGCAGCAAGGGGCAGCTCCAGCAAGAAGCGGAGCAAATGCCATCACCTCCTTAGCCCAGCGTCACCAGTCTCATCTGAGTAGCAGGTCAGATAATGGGATTTCACACCAAGGCTGATGAGGCACCTGACAACCACAGCTACTGGATCAGGCTTTTCAGGGAACTTAAAGACACCAGACATCAAATCTACTGATTTAAGGACAAGTGTTGAAGTGAGCAAAGACCTTGCAAGAAGGAAGTAGTTTTACACCTATGCAAAAACAAAAATCCAAATGTGCAGGAGAGTAAATTTTTACCTTTAAAATTACCTAAGAGATCAGGTAAAGGTTTTGTGAATTGTGCCCTTATTTTTATATGTCTCAATTCTACCCATGTCCCACCCTAAGCCAGCAAAAGTTTTGCAGGTTGCACTTATGCATAGGTAGTAGCTGGATTTACCGTGTCTTTTTGGGGACCTATGCCTAAGTCTGCTGTATTAAGGATAAAGAAGGAAGTATCAGGTAAAACTCCCCGAACCAAGAGCAAAAATCAGGTAGATAGGCAAGCTCTGCTTCATTAAATAAACTGGGAATCTCCCACAGCAATTACAAATAAATGCACTCATTCCTGCCTGACTTCTAAAGCTGTAGAGGATGCCTGGGACTAGTTATCATGTAAGGGGAAAACTACTTGGGAATTTCTAAGCTAAGAAGTTACAGATGAACATTTTCTGAACATTAAAGCAACACATGAAAAATGAGTCTGTTGCTGGTAGTATGGATGGACAGAAATTGCACCAGAATAAATCAAGCTCTACACACTCTTCTTATGAGAAAAAGCTTATGAATCTGACAGGTAAAGAAAATAGTCTCAAGAAGCTGAATATTTTTAAGATTAAATTACCAGGCTATGCTATTAGAAATATTTTTCCTAGTCCAGCTGAGCATCAATCCAAGTGCTGTTCTGCAAGGCAGTCTCCAAAGGTATTCCTTAGCCTGCCATGTTGACTATCACTGACAACAAACTGAGCAGCATTACAAGATTGGCCTTTCCCTGTCCTTTATTCATCCTTCCAAACATCATTTAGCAGGTAAAGCAAGTTTTGTGAGTAAACAGATAGGAAAAAATATGCTATTGTATATGTGATGTTATGACACCGGACATAAAACAGGGATGCTTTCACAACTGCTACTCATTAGCTTCATTCATTTCACAGCATTTTCCAGAGACAGGACTGGTCAGTTAATTTGTTAAATTTTTTTAATTTGTTAATATATGAAATTTGTTAATTGGTCAGTAGTCTGCTCTGAAAATAACGGAGAAAGTAGAACTACAACTCGGTTTTATTTCTTTTTGTCAAGAAGGAAAATCTCCCTCATAACTGAAAGTCAGAAAAAAAGTGTTTCATCCAAAATAATCACATACAAATAATTACATCAGAAAGGAAGCTATTAACAACAGAATCTCATGAGAAAACCCAAACCCTTTACTTCTTACAAAGACATGAGAAGTTCATTTTAAAGAATAGAACAAGTAGCCATCTGTAATGCATTTGTTTCAACTGATACTTTAGAATAGTATCTCATTTTACTCAGAAAAAAAAAGACAATCATATGAAAACAGCTAGTCAGTTCAAAATCATCAGACAGAATGATTTTGCTACCTACCAGTCACATCAATTTTGCTTTTGCAGAATGACTCATATCACGTACACATTCCACTTCAGAAAATTAGGACCCCCACCATCTCACTTCTCTCCTCCCAAAATGAAAACTGTCATGATTTTATTTTTTGCCAGTACAGACTGATACACCAGTGACTAACCTTCAATGTGCTTTAACTGATGGTCACTCCTTTAACAAGAACCAATTAAAGTTACTGCATAGGAATAAACTATTTTCTTTAAAGTTTCTTGTATTAGAGCATCAGTTAAATGATGCAAGTGTAGCACTTATACGGTGCATGCTATTCCCAGTCAGGTTTTTCCCAATAGTCTTTTTTGCTTTATCCAGTCAAATTGTGTCATGTGTCTTGCCACTCTAATTGCAATAAGTCTCTAAACTACCTAAAATTAGTATTTCCTTCTAGGGTCTACTAAAAATTTTTTCATCTCCATTTAATGAAAGTAAGGGAATTGTGACAAAATGTGAGGAACCTGGTAAAAAATAATTCATATTCTTTCTTCCTTTCAAGGAAAAATTCATATAATCTGGACATCCACCACTGGATAAACTACAAATGCATGTTCCGGTGGATAAATAATTAAAGCATCTAACCTCATATTAACTGCTCTTAGCCACTTACCTCTGGTTAAATAACCTAGAAAATGGGATGTCTAAATTTTATATTTGTAGCATTTCAAGTTGTTTGTTGTACCTCAAACGACAGAGTCTGAATGGACAGCAGGAAGTTTTTCAGTCTTGCACTGAATCCACTACACTGTCTCATCTCATCATCATCCTCTTAGGAGAGTTAATTCACGTGCAGACAATCTACTGGTAGGTTCCCTGCTGAGTCAGTCCTACACCAGGCTCACATGACTGGTGTAGGACCTAGACAACTCCAGCCAATAAAATCCATCTCACCTCCACGGCACGTGGACCTACCTTCTTCAGTTCCGCTGCCATGAAAACCCCTGCACTATCCCAACTGCTACAGAGTAAACATACTCTGTGACTTGAAGCATGTCTAGATAACTATTTGACAATTTCAGAGATCCTTTAGTATGCAAAAGAATTAACCAAAATCAAGAATCTTCTCCTTCATAGCTCCAAGTCCCATATATACAGTTAATGAAAACTGCAGCCTGTAGTCCCATTAGTCTTTTGTCCAGAATTGCAGCTCTCAAACCACACTCATGAACAAACCCTACTACTTCACAAATGAACAGACTCAAGGGTAAGGTGGTGCTGTAATAAACTTGTACGGGGTCTGCCATATTTCCTGTGAATCAACACACTGTCACACATTTTCTCCGGCAACCCTAGATATAGGGTTATTCCCTTATTAATTAAGAGCCCTATATTTAAGACTAATTTTTAAATTTCATTTTGTAAGATCCAAAATTTAAAGAAAGAAGTAACTACTGCAAAAAAACCCTACAGACAGTAAGAGAACTTTTTCAAAGTTTTAAGGGATCATAATTCAGTAAAAATACACTAAAATTGAGACACAATCATAATACATCTTGAGTTGGGAGGAACCCATAAGGATCATCAAGTCCAACTCTATCCTCCTTGCAGGAGCATAGCTGTACATAACTTTATATAACTGTAAAATAAATCAGTTCGCTTTAGATCAACCTAAAATTTTAATTATGACAATAAATATGAATAAGAAACTGTGCAGAGCAAGTAGACATGAAAGGCATTGTGCAATGTATCTGCTGAATCTCCTATGACCCAAGCCTTCAGATTTCAGTTTTTGGCACTGGATTCCAACAAGTCTTTTGCTTCATTTATTTTTGTTGCTAAGTAAGGCGATCCACCTGAGAAGAGAAAGGAAAAAGAATTCTGTTTACACGTCAGTATTAAGTTCCAAACTACTTCACTTGCAGCATCCCTTTATTACTCACTTTCATTAGCTTCTTCTTCCTACACAGATCCTTTTGATACAATTGCTTAACAAATGACATTGATAAGAAATAAACTAATTGACAAGGAAACATGAGAAATGTAATCAAAACTGAAGTCACTGAAGAATAACGCTGAACATTTTGTCTCAGAGAGAAGACTGAATTTTGAAAACACTTTACATCACTGTGATTTAGACCAGCATTGCGATGCTTCTGTAAGTGTATGCAAGGTCAGCTGTCTTGAATAATCATTCAAACCAAACAGCTAGTAATTCCACTCATCCCAAAACTGAAAAGGAAAATTTTAAAATAATTTTGACAAAGAATTATTGTGTGCACATGCACACCTTCCCCCGCAAGACTCTCCTGCGCTAGACACCCAAAATTACCAGCCAGAAACCATCACATTAAAGCTGCTTAAACATGGTCCGCCTTCTAACTTCTAGTCCTGAACACTGTCATTGCTTTACGCTCCATCTAACAATCTGATTACAGTTCAGCAGTCTTTTTGTGTTTGGATTTTTTTTACTCTCCCCTTGAGTGCCAACCATCTGTCTACAGTCCCCAAAAACAACATTACAAGGTCTGTATCAGTAACTTACCACTTACTATAATACATCTATACTTTTTACATGAAAATGCGATTCCAGCAGTACTGTGCACTGAATAGCCTTTTCCAAGGCATCTGTTCAAACTTATTTTTCGTTCACCATTTCAGTTATTCTATTAATCAGAAAGGACAATGAGAGACAAAACATATAGAGCTACTTACAGACAAATATAAATAAAGACAAAAAGGCAAGGCTTCCTTAAAGCCTTCTTTAGGACAATCCTGTAGGAATCCAAATCAGTATAAAATAATTTCATGATGTAGTAAAACAACTGGAAAAAGTAATGAAGTTCTTTTTCATGTTTTGGTCTTGTTTGAATGTAGCCTTAATGGGTAAGACACAGTGGAGGAAAGAGAAGCAGGGCAAGGGATGGGTAATGAATTGGCTACTGAAAAAAGAATTTATTTTTTCCCTTTTTTTAAAATCAAGTAGCTTTTAGCAAGGAATAGGATTTACTACATTGAGTAGATAAGAGGATCAAACAAACAGTAAGGACTAAAACCTGCAATAAACAATGCATTCCGAGTAATTTTTAAATGTGCATTGATTTTCTATCTGTCTAAAGTACAGGATCTTAAAGTAAATTCAAATCTGTTAGAAGTGTTTTCACTACATTTACATCCTTAAGTGCCATATTAATTTTGTAGCCCTCCAATGAGAGGAAATTCAATCTCATGATTGTCTAAGTGTTTGTTTACAATTAGGGCAAGTCCAAAAGGTTTCTCTTTTCCTCTTTTTCTGTGACGAAATTCTCTTTCTGAAAATTAGCAATTGATAAATTAATACAATACACAACACAATACATCCATATAATATATCAATATAAAACCACTTTAAAACTGAACTGCAAAGGTTCATAAGCAACTGTTTTAGTAGTACTCACTGGGGATGTTATTAGGCAAATTTTTATATATTTCTTATTTACTTCTAATAATTTTCTCTTTAACAGTTTGGATCTCAGATAACACATGTAACTTCAAAAATCTGTAATTAATGACCTTTCTTCCATCAAGTCCAGCTGGTAAAATATTATTTTAAAATGACATTACAATGTTGACTATAATTTTTAAAAGTACATTTGTGCTACCCACAGCCAGAAGAAATCAAGATCTATACACAAGCAAACAAGTCTCTTTATGATGCCTCATGTTCAAGATTACTCCAGGCCTTTGCTCTGCAGCCAAAGATATTACATAAGCCTTTTTTCTACAGCCATGACAGAAGAGCTTCAGGGGCAGCACAGAGGCACAAATCCCTTCAACTGGTGTTTCTGGAGAAAATGTTCCATCTTAATACCATGCAAGAGGGCTCACTACATTCATCCAAACCCACACTGTGCCCAGCTGCAGGTGCATTACAGCTGTAAGAGCGGTCATTAAAATCTCTGTTAGGGTCATTAGCATCTTCCTAACAGAACTCTCTCTTTAGGTCTACTCAATATCCACACAGGGATTCACAGTTCTTTCTTACTCACATCTCCAAATACTGCTACAATAAACTTCGAAGTTCAGCATTAAAAAATTTTGACCTAATAGGTACTCTGGTGTTTAAGAGGTCCTTGACCATCATATATATTAGAAATGCAGAAGAGAATTTCTTTCCTATGTCTGTGCAGCTTGCACACTATAAAAAGTGTAAAAAATGAAAGTGTGAAATCAAATAAGCAGGACAACTTTAAAATTAAACTGAGGGGTGAAGACTGAAAAGAAACACTCAACTAAAAGCTTTCCATGGCCAGTGGTCACAGTTATCTTTTCATTTTCTTAAAATGGGGTGCTGGCAGGGAGCCCTGTAATTCTGTCAAAAAGATATAAAACCCCTCCAATTTCCCCTTTTGACTTCTGAAATACAGTGCAACTCTTCACCATCTGTTATTTTAAAGTAGAAACAGCAACGAACATATGGGCTTTCTCTCTCAACCAGCTGTAGTGTAGTTAAAGTTATAATAATAGCCTTTCTCTAAGATAAATTTACATTAAAAACCTGGCCAGTAAAGCAACAGTGCCCAGCTTTACATTCTTTCCAAGTGAATTCCATAAAGTCTGAAATTCATCAATGATGTACTTAGTAACTGTAGAACATTTCCCCACAGAAAATTACTTTCATGCATGTGACTGTTCCATCAGAGTTCAAAACAGGAGTGTCAGATAATGTAAAATTTTTACAGTTTATTTTTAAGTAAGTTTTTGCCAAGTGTGGTAAGCTGGTCCCTGAGAAGCAGCACAAGTACAAGAAAACAACATTAAAGAAAGATAGTAAAACTGTGGTTCATAAAGCCCAGTTTATCTGAGAGGAGACACACAGAAGCTCAAGTCAATAAATAAACAAAAAACATTTGTACTCAATGTGGTTATTTACATAGTCAGAAAACTTAAAAGATCTCATTTAAACCTTTTCCTTTCCAGCCCTGGTTAAGAAGAGTAGTAATTATTTACCTTTATCAGGGTGATTCAAAATCATGATTTTTCTATGGGCTGTTCGGATTTTGTCTTTGCCAGCAGATGGACTGCAAAAATAAATAAAAGTGCTTACCAGAAATGTGAAAGCACTCAGGCTAAAAATTAACAGTTTATACTGGCTTCAAAAATATTAAAACTTGAAATTTTCACCATCTTGTGGACAAAACATAAAACTGCATCTCTAAGGAAGTAACAATAACAAAGGCGTGTAAGACATAGAGAATGACATTTTTCAAAAGCCTGTGTATCTCACACATACAAATATCTTTCAGCTTTTTGTGAAACATCATGCATCCACTCATTTAAAATAAACATTTTTGAGGGGGCAGAATAAAAAAAATGAAAGCCCAAGCAGTTCTAGGGTGTATCTGTTTGGTTATTCTAGCATTAAATGCAGAAAAAACAATTTCTGCTCCAAGAAAATAAATATTTTTATGACCAGTGACAAAACAACAAATATTTAATATTATCGCATTTTGTTCTACTGTAAATATTTTTATAGCTGCTATAAATATTTCCTCTTTCTGCTGGGGCCTGAAAAAAACCCTGCATGTTGTTATTTTTGCAAAGCCGTTCAATGTGTTACATTCAGGGATATGCTGATTTACAGGTGCTACCTACATAATGTTGTTTCCTTCAATGACAGATACATAAAATATGTACTCGGCCTAAATTAAACACATCCCTTACCAGACAAATAACCACTTATGGATGCAGTATGCCAACACAGTAGGGCTATCATGTGCAAAAGGACAGTTTCAATGCTTTAGTTTTTTGTAATTTGTTAGTATGCAGAAATGAATCAGTGTTTTCCACTTCAGGTGACTTCTTAATCAGCGATGATTCAATTAATTAATCTTTCTGTAGATACAGTTTGAATGCAAGGTATCAGCCTAACTAAATTCCTGAGGTAAACAACCTCTCTAATTATTATTCTGTCACAGTGAAATTAGGGTATGTTGCAAAAATAGTTCACAGAACTGCATAAGAAAAGAATACTTCAATGGAACAGAAAGTAGACTAGAAAGTAAGAATCAAACAGAGGGTGAAAGGCCTTGAACCATATAAATACAAAAATAAAATGATTTGTTGTCAGAGAACTGAAAATAATAATCATCTACGTTTTGATTTGTAAAGCTGTTTTTTAATACTAAAAAGGAAAGCCGACATACCCCATTCAGAAATGCTGATGGCCAAAACATAACTGGGAAAAAGTGGCAGTTGCATGTTACAGAAAATCATGCAAGTCTGCTCCGAGAAGCAAATGTGAAAATGGTTTACAGTAAATTTTCTTGGTTTAGGAGACATTGCTTATCCCACAGTTAGACTGGTCTCTGAAAATTCTTAATGACCATTAAAAAAAAATACATAATGTCAAAATCACACTTTCCTTGACTCACAACCTGAGTCACACCAACGTCATGCTGCACTTCCACATCAACTGGCTGAGAAGTCTATCACCTTGGTGGGAACAGTCAATATGCTGGAGGGTAGGGCTGACATTCAGAGGGACCTGGGTAGGCTGCCCTGCCGAAGTGGGTGATAGGAACCCTTCACAAAACTCCACAAGGACAGGTGCAGAGCTCTGTGCTTGGGAAGGAAGTGTCCCTTGCAGATCTAGAGGCTGGGGAATGCCAGGCTGGGGAGTGGCTCTGCTGAAAGGGACCCAGGGCACAGCAAGAACATTCATCCACTGCAGTATGTTACTACGCCACCGATACAAACACAAATTGCATGGTTTATGAACATTTTATTGTTTGCTTTTTAGTTTAAGCAGAATATTAGAATAATTTATAAGTCTCTTAATAAAAAAAGTCTCTCACATGGTTTTGGCACAAGTATTCCACATTCTTGCAACATGCATCTGCTTCATTCAATACATGTTAAAGTAAAATATATTGATGCAAAACACCTACCTTACACCTAAAATGAGACTAGCTTCTCGCCTACTCATTTTCTGCTCAAATCCTCCTTTATAGTATGATGAAAAACTCTAAAAAGAAGAAAGGGAAAAAAAGCAATAATTAGTTTCATGTACAAGGTGCCAGGAACTACATTGTATTTATATGATCTCATTCAGAGCATTACATTCATCTATAATTTATTTCAAAGACATGGAATGACTTCAAACCAGATAATATGAAAGGACTTCTCCTGAGCGTTAACACATGCAAAAACTGACTTAAAAATATCTATCTATGTTTTCAAAATCTTCCTTTCTGTGTTTTTACAATCTTCTACTGTTAATAGGAGATATTAATAGCTACAACCATTAAAATCCTGCCTGAAGGCAAAAAAGACCAGAATCAAAGCACATACTAGCACAGAGTAGTACAGTGTTTGTGTTGGGGAGGGCAGGGGAGGGAAAGTGGGAGATTTGTTGAGGACAGCACAGGTACCATCACAACGAAAAATGACAAAGTATTGTCATCCAAGGAAATTACTGACAATGACTCCAAATATTTCTACAAAGACAGTAGGTAAAAACAACAGTCAAGATATGAACTGATAAATACAATATACTGATGAAAAGTCAGTATCTTTTTTCCACTTCAAGGAATTTTATTAAAAAAAAAAAATAGATGAGTTCTTTAAAGGACACCTGAAAACTAACCAAAAGACACAATTAAAAGGCTTAGCATAAAGTCACAACCTCTGTTTCAGAAAAATCACTGAGCTGGAGAACACTGGAAAGTAGTAAAGTACATGGAGAAATCCTAACCAACTTTTGCCTTTACATCCTTCCCTTGACACCAATGACTGACAATGATCAGCTACAGGATCTGAGGTTAATTTTTTTAAACTTCTTGTGATGTGAGACTTTATCCACTTAAGATTTTTTAAGAAGGGAAGAAAAAACAGTGGAAAAAACCCCACTTAAATAGAGGAGATGGAGATCAGAGTAAAACATTACCAATTAATTGTCATAGGAAATAGGTCAAAGGCATATTACTCAACTATAGATCAATTTTAAACTAAAAAAAAAAAATTACTGAACCATCACCAATGGTTAGCAGTGATCTCACAGTAAACCTTTCTCTAAGTCCCAGAGGCAGCAGATGTAGCTCCAAGACAGCCTGCCTTGGGGAACTGGCACACAGAAATCACTCAACAAGACTGATTTTTTTTCCTCCATGCAAAACCTATCAGCTGGGGGAAAATAAGCTTCTTTTGTTGCTATCAAAGGGAAGTCTGGCCTGAGAGCTGAGATTATTTTCAAGTGTTCCTTTTACCCCCAAGGAAAAATATGCCTGGCCCTTAATAAAACACTCTTCTCACTAAATATAGCCATTCAAATTCAGTGAGAATTTTGCCTTATGTCTACACAAACTCTCTTATGTAATTTCAAAAGCATTAAGCATTTAAAGGGCTCTGTCTATGAAACCTAAGCTAAGACTTTAATTAAACCTAAAAGAGACATTCTTCCAAAAGTGGTTCCGAAATACTTTACCTATTGTTACCATAAAGTCACAGAAAAGATTTTCTCGTGTGCTGTTATGATCCAAAACTAATTTTATCCTCCTTCTTTCCACCGCAAAACATGCACAAAACAACCACTACTCTAACACTGCAGGTATCAAAGCTGAAGTAACTCTGGACAGGGGGTGCCTAGAACAAAAATCTGTTGAAGCCCCGCTTCTGTAGCTACAGGGTAACACAAACCAGGTCTCTAACAATGCACATTGACATTTCAGGTTAGAGTATGTAACATAAAGGGAACACACAGGGCTTCTCTGGTTCTCTGAGAGGAAATGATGCTAATAATTTAGTGGTCAACAGATAACACCCTTGAGGAGGCAGAACTACCCAGGAATTTGCAGTGATGCCAAAGAAATACTATAGTCAGGAGAGAAAAGCACAGTTTAATGTCCTCTGAAAGATTTTTCCAGAGCTTCTCCCAAAGCAGGCTAGGTGCAGATGGTTTCCTGAAAAGGTTAATTCTTCTCTGCCCTTCAACTCTGATACACAACTCTAACACAGGAGAACTCTGGTTCACTATTCATGTAGAGAAGAGTAATATTTGAATTATCTCTACCACAGCTTGTCTCTGTTCCTGGTAGATTTCATCTAAAATACTATTTGAAATGTAAGAATTGGGAGGAATGGCTATAGGCTTACATTCAGAAATACTTTTTCATGTTTTTAAAGCCTACTTTCTTGACACTGTTCTAACCTCAGGAAGCCTTGATTCGGTTCACTTCCAAGAGAAATGAGAAAAGAAATTTTGGTGTCTGTGTCCTTTTGTATATAAACAAAAGGAGTTTGTTGAACTGGTCTTCAAGAAAAAAAAATTTTTTCCTCAGAAATGAAGGATATAGCAAGAACAATCAATTCTTAAATTACAATCTTCATCCTAAACAGAATTTATAGTAAAAGGAAATCAGACATAAAATCCATTTTTCCCACTGGTTAGAAAAAAATGGGAAGAAACATTGAGCCTTCATTTAAGGAAACACCTTGGCAAATGTCTACTTTCTCTAATGAAACAACTTTTGCATGCTACTCAAACTAAAGCATTTTTTCCTAGTTGTAAATTTTAAGTAATACATGTAATGATATTTTTCTGCTATGAGAACTCCTCAGTGAGCAGGCAGTTCTAGATACTTGATTATTTATTAACTCCAGCAATTGCAAAGAAAATTCAGTACTGAAAAAATCATTGAAATGAGCTCTCCATTTCTTGGTACTATTTGGGGGGGAGGGGAGGCTATAATTTAATTTACTTAATTTTCTTGCACATTATTACTGCTTAGCAACTTATGTAAGCAAATTCTCTTTCCTGAACAAACGCTATTAATAGGTTTGGGGCAGGGGGAGGGACAGAAAATGGCTGCACTTGCTTTGCAAATGTGTATTCGGTCTTGCACAAACGCAAATTTTCACAAACGCAATCAGCTAGGAAAATCCAATGCATATGGACCATGACATCTTCAAGATATTTTTTCCGGCATAGCACAGGAAAAGCATGATCACTGTTTGCATGCCAGTTAAGAAACTAAAAACACCATAAATGAGACCATTACATAGAGTAGTAAATTTTTCTGAAAACTCTACATGTTGTTGTTTCAGCACCAATATAGTTCTCCACTGAAAAGATAACACTGTAAGGAAAAAAAAATCAAACACAAACCCCAAACCACAACAACAAACTATTCAGAAGCTGTTATATAATACAAGGTACAATTTTGCTAACATCAACTTCCTTAAATTTAGTCAGGAAAAAAAATTAGAATGGCCCACAAATCACACTGTTCTCTGGAAACTTGATTTTCAAGATAGATGGTTGCTACCCTTACCTCTCAATTCAGAACTCTATGATAGTCTGAGCAGAATCAGATCCAATAAGGGAAACACAGTGTAAAAGTCTAATGAAGTGCTATAGAAGACATCCTTTGCTTATGTAACACAGAATTTTCAGGATTGTGGGATTTGAGTACTTTTACAGTTCATTTGGCCTAGAATTGCTGTTTCTGTCTTCAATATCTTTGTTCTATCTATCTGTCTATCTATCTATCTATCAACCTTCAATATCATTAATTCAACAGAGAAAGGTAATGAATGCTACTGAAATACTTGCCTTTTTATCTCATGTTTTACAGACATATTAACACTATAATTAATGGCATTTATTCTGAGGAAGAAAAGCCAACTGATTACTTAGTGCCACGCACCTTCTACTGGCAACAGACTCTTGCCACTACACACAGAAACAAAACAGTGTCACTGACATTTGTGACGACAGTGACAAAACTAGGCTCAAACTGAAAAGGCATTTCTCTGGAAGTGAGCATTTATGACTTCTCATAAAGGGGAAATGACAATGTTTCCTCTAATGCTTTTCTCCACGGAAATAAAAATGGTAGAAAACTTCAAGGCTAAATTATAACAGCATTTACAAATATATATCCTTAAATATTAAGTAACTGCTTTAAGTTGAAGCTAAATGAGAGGTAAAAGTTCAGAATAAAACATAACACTTTTACTTGCCTTTACTTACTATTTTTGACTAAAAGATGAGTGCACTTGTTGACTGTTCATGCTACTTACATTGGTAAGTAAGAAGTGTCAAATACTCAAGATACAGAAAGCAGCATTTTAAATGATCACCTCGTAATTGCTCAACTTGACCTTTTTGAAGTCATTTATTAGTGAGCAGGAAGAAAGAATAAACAGCACCTGCATTATCTTGTTTGACTGGGAGGGACCAACATGAATTGTGACTTCTACTGCAAACAAAGGAGGAAAAGAATTGTAAATGGGGGAGGAAGAGTGGGAACTCACTGAGAGAATAAGATAGTTTTTGAATAGGCAGCTGCTTCACAGACTCAAAAAAAAAAAAAAAAAAGGCAATGAAGGACAAGATTTGATTCTAGAAAGCTAGAATAACCACTGGAAATTACAGTGAACAAGTCACGTGCCTTTGAACACCACAGAAAAGCGGCCAAGCCTAGACACTGAAGGTCTCGAGATGTCTTTTCCAGTAAGCACAGGCAGAAGTGCTAACTGGTTGATATCTTTAGTCAGCATAATTTAAAGAGTAATATGCTGTCAAGAGATGTGATGAAGGTGCTAATTCACAAATTATACTCAGCAGCTTCAAATTCCAAAAACAAAATCATGTGAAGCTGCTAAAATAAGAAGTTTGGACAACAAGCACTTAAATAGAGATACCTTTGTATCTGAAGTTTTCTCTATTTTCTCTATTGATTGTTAGGGGAAGAAGAAAAAACATTAAAAAAACCCAATCCAAGAAAGTAGTAGCTGTAGACTAGTAAAAACCAAATAATCTTGGCTAAGAATTATATAAGGGTCTTAAATTTGGACGGCAGTTGTAGAAGAAAAATACTATTACTATCCTCACAAATGTAAAGCTGACAAATATATACAGTTAATAGCAAACAGAAAGAGAATTTTTACTGTATTCAGCAGATCTCGTCTTACACTGAAAACTTGTATTTTCAAGTTAAAAAATAGAATAGACGAAAAGGGAGATACTCTACTGGAATAATCAACCCACAACTCTGAGCCGTAAGGCAGGAAGACAGAGTAAGTAAGACAGAGGATACTGCTCCAGGGACTAGGAACACTTAGAATGCAGAAGTTCCTGTTCATGAATGCTGCAGGCCTCAAAAGTCACTGTAGTAAAAATGAGATAGGTATGTAATGAACTTGGCTCAGTCAGTATTGAGGGGTACAGTTTCCAAGGAACAGACACCTCTCAGTGCAGTAGCATGTCATATTTCAATGTGTTAAAAAGAGTCACTGCCTGCTTTCTCATGTGAACACGTCTGAATTTAGATTTTCTAGCCTATATCTAAAAATGGATAGAAAAAGAATTGCTGGAGTATAACTGCTAGGAAGGGAGGGAGAGTGAAGACTGAAGCACTCCCTACTTTGAAGCCACATGTACTGCTACATACATCTAGTAAGCCTTCAAGTCACGCTGTATCTGTATGATGTGAAAGCAATTTAATTCACAATGCCTAAAGTCCCCTCTGCTGTTTTGGCAGGCAACCTGGGAATCTCTCAAAGATTACTTTGAAAAAGCAAAAAAAAATTGGCATTGGTTTCACAACAGCAATGCAATAGAGGCTCAGAGAGAAAAAAATCCAGGACTACCATTTTTGGCTGACACACATCACAATGAAGAATAAATGTGAGCCAGCCCCAAGAGGACAGTTGAGTCTTCTTCTCCCCAGGAAGCTTGCCTTGATCAAGCTTGCCCCTTCAGCACATGAACACCAAGGACAGATGGCAAATGAATTTGGACCGCAGCGTCTGTCTAGAAGGGTTGTGTTGCAACCGGCCTAACATTAGTAGGTACAGTGCTAATGATCATGTTTTTAAAGAAACTACCTTCAATGTTTTTCAGGAACTAATAATCTGCAACAACTACTCCCTGATCACACTCACCCATTAGCATCAAGAGGGGAATCGTATTCCTTTGCTGGAATAAGAGTTCAGAGACTATGAATTCTGAAGGAACACACTGCCACAAGCAGACACCTGCCTCACTGGGAATCACTTTAATCAAACGGGAATGGAACATATTTATTTATTTACCACAGGAAAACACAGCCACTGAAGCAGAAAGTACATGCTCTCAAATATTCCCTGCATATGCTCCTCTTACTACACTCTACCTCTTGATTTTTTACCTTATTATTATATTTTTAAATATATAAGGCAAAATCAAAGAACAAAAACTTGGTTAAAAGTTCAAATTAGCTGGGGAAGAAAAAAAAGACAACTCCTATGTGAACCAGAACACAAGCTCCCCCATCTCCATGGCAACCTTTCCTAGAAGTTTATCAATTTGTCTTCTTGAGTTTTAACACTGTATCTAAAAGACAAAATTATTTTACTTTTAGCTTCTTGAAACGAAACTCCATGTCACCACTTTACAATCTTTAGGAATTAGCGATTGTCTCACAGCACACTTCAACAATTTATCACACACTTATTAGTAAGTAAGTCTATGATAAGTATCAGACACTTGCTAGGATTCCAAAGTAAGGAACATTGGTAGAAAAACTAGAACTGTTTATCAAATTTACAAACATCTTTTGATATATCTTCCTCCATATGGATTTAAAATATAGCAGACAATACACCAGAACATACACAGTAGGGAGCAGCCATATCCTGGGTAAAAAATAAACTATGCGGCACTTCCTGTATTTAACATAAAGTGTCTCCTTTCTGATCTGAATATTAGAAATACAAAATCATACATTTAGCATAAAGTAATATCTAAACTTACAGAAGTCGTGATCCTCTTTGCTGTTTCTGTAATTGCCTGCTCCAATGGTTTCCAAAGGTGGAAAGCGTAACGACCTGAAAAAGATGCAAGGTAAATGAAATTACAACCAATACTCACTAAAACAAACAAAAAAACCCCTCTAACATATGTTCATAATAAAACCAAAAAAATTTGGTTTAAAAAACCCCACAAACTATTGGGAGAAGAAGGAGAAGAATTTTAATGTACTTCATCCAAACACCTAGTTATGGATTGCAAAGATCCACTGTGTTTACTCACTATTTAACTCACTAAATAAATAGATTTAAATACATTTCAATATGATAAATGAAGATATCTGCCTTGTGAACTTTAAGAAAAAGGGTAGTTTGAAACATTAGCTTTGGATACACATTATTAATTAAATACTGTTCAAAGGTTATGTCTTCATAGAAGACAAAAGAAGCCTATGTACTACACATTTCTTGTTGTGATGCTGTATGCTTAATCAGTACTTACACACTTTGTAAGTACTGCATTTTTTATTTTATTACAAAGAGAGGATCTTCTGGGATTCAGAATCATTCAATTCTCCACTGGCAGTGAATGTCCATAGCTAGGAAAGGCTAGAAGGCACTCTATTAGATTGTGTTCTCAAAAGTACAAAGCAGGTCTATCAACTTCAGAATCAAGATTTATGCCATGTTACTGGAGGATTTTCCCCATAAATCCCCTCTCCCCAGTTATGCTTTGATTAACTATTCATTAGCAATGTAACTTACTATTGCATACAGTGGAAAAACTTTTTATAAAATGTGGCTCTGCTTCATTCAAATAGCATCTTGTCTTCATTCTTAAAATACACGTGTCCATAAGCTATTTTAGTAATCTAAGCCTGTGTCTATGTTAACACAGAAGTTAAAACACTGTTAAGAGTATCTCTGTTGGAATGTTGTATGTACTATTACCTCACTTTCTTTTTTCTGTTACTTTGACACAGTTACTATTACTTCTTCAGCTCAACCAGCGGAAGAAATTCTATGAACGTTCCTCTTCTGCTTCTATAAAAGCACATAAACCAACTGCTTAATGGATGTACATCACCAAAGATCATCTTTCCTTACCCTAATCACAACAACACAACCCACAAAAAACCCACTTAAGTTTTGTGCAACTTGTTCATCTATTAAATCTGTTCTTGGTGCATGCACTTGCACATTGCTTTTGTATGCTGAGAATAATAGAAATTAATTCATGTATTTCAAAACTAGAATGGACAGTTATCCAAGACCAAATAACCCAGAGAATAAATCATGCTAAACTCGTGCCCTGTGTTCAGACTTTTCAGAACCTATTTTTCAGAGTAACATACAGTCCAGATGCAAAGAGTTTAGGTAATAAAGAGTTTAGTATGATAAATCACGGTATTCACTTAAACCTTCTGTTTTTCTCTATTTGAATTTGTTGAGCATCACCTTCCCATCACAAGATCTTCTTATGCTCTTTGGTACTAAAAAAGCCTCCACGCTGCAATGTGTTATTAAGGAAATAAACTTTTCACCTTACATTTTGCAGACAAAAAGCAGATGGAATATTTTAGCTGCTGTCCATAAAATTACTTTCTCCAGTTTTCTCCACTTTTCAAAAATAATTTTTGAATATTTGGTTTTTAAGGGACAGGAACTATAACCAGACACAATTCTTCATAATACTCTCAAGCAACCTTTTTGCTTTCCACTCTTTATATCCATAAAAACTTCATTAACCCTTTCTGAAACAGCAGCTCGCAAGTGAGAGTTCCACGCTCAGATGGTAATTTAGCTTACCTGCAAATGCAACAGTTGCAACACCAAGTCCAACTGCTATCATAGTTCTGGCCTAAAGCAGAAAAACAGGAATCAGAATAACATGCAAACTCTAATTTAATATAAATGCACCTTTTACTTTAACAAGTATTTCTGATGTCTGATGTGGACATTTCATATATAATTTACAGGAAAGATGAAAGTAAGTCCTGTATTCCTCAGGCTACATCAGATTTTTATAGTTCAGTCCCATTAACCCACACCAACACATCAGGTTTAACTCGGAACTACCCACCAGCAAATCAGCGAACATACACTGAAATCAGCTCACAGTATGTAATGATAGAAACACAAGGCAGACAACTATTCAGGATTACTTGAAATTACTTGTGCCAGAATAGTTCAACACAGTATGTAACAGAAAGTATCTGTTTATTAAAAAAACATAAAGAGCTAATTCAAAACTACAAAATCAGATGTATGTATTTTCCTCCACAGCGTCTGAAAAAAAGTCAGGCGCTTCAGGAAGGACAATAGTAAGTATCTCCATGCTGATCAAGATGGTGATGGAATGTGTGAGGTAAATCTTGAAGAACGGACTGACTTCTCACATGTTTGCAGAATTCAAGAAGGGTAACGAGCTCTCCATTTCTGAAAAGCCTACACGTAATCTTTGAAACAAATGAAATAGTCATCTGTGGCATTACCTGTCCTATCACATGACAGTTCAATAATGCCTTGTATTTTCCCCCAGGAAACCTGAGAAATCAGATTAGGCTTGTTTATCTTGAATTTAAAGCATAATGATAGTGAAAATGCTTTTATCACCAGACTGTCTCTTCTATATATGACTTACTTCTGCAATTACCCAGTAACCGGTTTATACATTTTGTACAAACAAATCTGACAGAAGGACTTAAAGCTCAAACTTCAATGCGAGTGCCCTAATAACTGAATCTGGAGCCAAGTTGCCTTTGCTAAGATTCCTGGGGCTGAAATTCTTTGTCTTCAATTGTACCCAATCTCATTTCTAGACAGAGTAGGAGTAGGGGAAGAGTTCAGAAATAACGTTTTTAAAGCCTACCTAGAGTTGGTTCAGTATGGGCTACAACATGGGCTGACAACTTGGCCTGCAAACAGGCAGCTGTACAAGATGTGGGCAACAATTGCACCCAGTGACTCCTACAGCTTTGGCTCTGAAGGAGAGTGGCTGTGACTGACACCTGTAGTATTGAGCTCAGTACAGAAAAAGTTGCAGCCTGCCCTGAGCTCATCCAGAAGCAGCTTTATTCCTCTGTATCTAGTTTCTGGATCCTACAGATTATAACTAAGGACCTACCTCCCACCTACTGAGGGGGCTGCTAGATATTTGCATAAGACTGCAATTGCCTGGAGGTTTCTATTAAAAAAAAAAAAGAAAAAGAACAGACTCACTAAGCATACTGAAACTGAAGCTCCAGAGTTAAGACTGAGGGAATTCTGGCCTTAAAAATCTGCTTGTCTATCCCATTTTAATAACAGAACTCTTCCATTTCAGTGTACTCTTCAGTCTCGATATTAGCATTCATTTCAGAACATAAAAATAATGTAGTAGTTTTATGTCTGTTGTTCCTTTCAGTTCCACCAAATTTCCTTAATCTTTAGACCATGAAAAAACGTAAGCATATTACCTTAAATGGTATAAGATGTAAAATAGTCAAGCACACAGTTCACCTCCTCACTAAACTAAAACTCTTTTAATTTCTTCTCACAAATCAAGTTTTCCCAGGCTCTCAATATTCGAACCTCAAAAAGAATTCCTCTACTTCCTCTGTTTAGACAGGAACCACAACCAGCCGCAAGATTTCTGAAAATATCACAACCCTATAGCAATTCTATATTATTCTGTTATGTGATTTGTGACCATAGATTAATATTCAAGAGTTTCCTTGACATTGATTCAGAGTGACGACAAGAATCTTTTACTAAGTGGTTATAGTCAATTAAGAGCTCAACAGTGTGTGAAATAGATCACATAGGCAAAAAAAAAAAAGTATTTATTAGCCTGTGCTTGTCCAGATTAAGTTATACTTGCTTTGTCACCGAAAAGGTGGTTTAAATCAGTAGTTTACAAAAAGATATACAGGTTGCAACAAGGCATTAACAGCAGACACCTCATCACAGGTAAGACCAAGCACAGAGAACGGGTTAATAAACAATACCAGGATTCAGTCAGTTTAGTGCAGAAATAGCATGTGTTTGCACAGTAATCTGGGAGCACATTGTAGAGATCCCTAAGGGCCTCTGACAGAATCAGCCATGTCTGCTGGGATGCATTATTTCAATCTCAGTGGAATTTCAATCTCAGTAGCAGCTAGTGGAAAGAGTGCTGCCTGGAAAATGGCAGGTGAAAACAAAACGCGGCAGCAGCTCTAGAATAAGAGGAGGATGCAGGACCAACAGGAAAATGAAGACAAGACAAAAAACTTCATAAAAGTCATACAAAGCTCAAGTCAGAGAGGCATGAAAGACTGCTCACATTTTGAAGTGAGGTACAGCCACCTGAGAAATATTGGTTTATGGTAATTCCTCTTATGACCCTAAGATTAGCCCAGTTGGTTGGAGCATGCTGCTAATAATGCCAAGGTTGGGGTTTGATCCCTCTATGGGCCATTCACGTAAGAGCTGGACTCAATGATCCTGGTTGGTGCCTTCCAACTCAGAATATTTTGTGATTCCATCAATTTTGGCTGGAAAGCAACAGTTCAACTGTGTGGAACAGTAGAGGAATCGGTAATTATTTGCATTATGAGCACGTCAGAGAAGAGTCACTTGACACATAGTAACGAAGAAGTGATAACTTGTCATACAAAGCATCTTGAATGTTTGTTATGGTGTGAACATACCCTACCTATACCCACGGGACAAAAACTGAATTGGAATCACTGTTAAAGAGATTTCACAGTTTGTCTTTTACTGGCACAGGCTCTCATAAAATTAGTGGCAACTTCAAGTACTAACCAGTAGGTCCTTTAAGTCCAGCTTGACTCAGTTTCCTTTTCCACGCTCACTTAACTCAGTTGTGTATTTAAAAGAATCAGTCAAGGCTAGCCTGGTTCTTTGAAATGCAAAGTCCAAAGCTTTAATTAAATGCACTCCTTTCACGTCAATATTAAATGAAAGCAACTCACTATCACTGTGGAAGGCAGCAGTTCATTTATTGCATGCTAATACAACTACCACCGCAATCATTTTTGTTTCCTATTGCTTGAAACTGCATTTTATTTCAGACTCATAAGGGATAAATAAATAAATACATACATACTGACTTTCAATTATGACAGAACTGACCTTCCCAGCCCTCCAAAAATGCCATTGAGAAACTTCCAAGATGTGGATTTTAAATGAAAGCATTCTGTGAAGATCCAAGAGGGAAAAATAAAGAAATAAAAGATTAAAGTAACATCTGTCCCTTTCTTTATTCAATGAATTGGCTCCCAAAGGTTAGTCATCAATCCCACGCTATTCTGCTGATCTCAGTGTTTTAATTTTACTGTGTAGTTCAGTTTTCAGCAATAAACCCTCTCAGATAAAGAAAACTAATTAAAAAGTTATGCTAAATCTGCAAAACCTGAATTTTCTTAATTCTTTTCAGAAATGTGTACAAGAAAACGTAAGCATTAGAAAGGCAACTGCAAGACCAGATTTACCTAAGCATTTGGCAAACAAAATAGGATAAAGTGTATGAATTAACACCCAGAATGTTCAGAGGTATATATCACATACTGTTAGCACACAGAGACCTAATCCTTCAATATTGAATTCTCCAGTAGTCCTAACTTTTTAGCAGGAAAAAACAGGGAAGAATGAGATATTATTTTTGCAAATTTCTAATCCACAGTGCTCTGCTAGTTTAACCATACTTAAAAAATATGGTTAGTTCTCATGTAGTTCTTAGCACTATGGCTTCTCCTTCTATGAAGGAGGCAAAAAAACTTATAAACAAAAGAATATAAAATGCATCACTTTCAAATTTCAGCACAACTTGAGTACATCTGACTATGGGCTACAAGAGTCACCTGTAGGAATGTTACAACATATCTGCTTGCACAGAATTTGGAATTTATACACTGGTTCTTCTACCACCAGTGAAAACAGCCTTCTTGGTCAAATGAAAAATATTTTGTGCTTTTAGACACACAGCAAAAGCTCTACAGTCTTTTGCCTTGGAAACCTACAGTGCAATAGAATAAAAAGAACAGAGAAAATAATAATTTGTTGATATGGGTTGGATGGTATTTTGTAACTAATCCATGCTTAGTCACAGAGCAGCAAAATAGGAATTATGTACTTATATTTAAATAAACATGTAAGGGCAAGTTGCTTAACTAAAAATTTCATTTTAAGAAGGTGTGATTTGGTTTTGTTTTTGTTTGGGTTTTTTGTGCTGTATGCTACTAAGAAGTAGGATACACAAGTATACTAACCGAATATACAAAAATATTTCTGAAATACAATTTTCCCTCAAATAAAAATTCTTGACTTCAAATAAATGATTGTTTGGTATGCAAGGCAGAATAAGGCTTCAGAAAAAACCCACCTAATTAACTCTATATGGAGCCAAAAACATTCCAAAGTGGGATTGTATTATCTGCAACCAATTTCATTTCATAATCTAATGTTTTCCTTCCAGCCTTACCTTCCTATGAAATTTAATGTGCTTTCCAACAATGAATTAAAAGCAATTTCAGCTAGATGCTGTTCTCCATACTGACCCAATTTTTATGTCAATTTGTGTAATTTATTTTTCAGCAACTTTTTTGATTTGTATACAAAGCTATGACTGCAGAGTTTTTCACAGGAAACTGTACCAGAGCAAACAGATTCACTAACAGAAAGCATCACCATAAGGTATTCAAATCAATCTTTTTGAGTACGTATTAACAATGAGCTCTTGCTGTTATCTTTGAGAACAGACTCTTCATGCTTCCACTGTTGCTCTTCCGTCCCTCCAAACACTTTTGTGAAACACCTAAGAGAATAAAAGTGACCATGAACAAGTGACTTCAGCTAATATCCCGGACAACTCACAACAAAGATTCAGGGTAGGATATTGAACAGAGCTCTTTCAGCCCCAAGACATGGATGCTGCTGTTGGACTTTGCTTCTCTTACTACTGCTCCGTTCCACCACGACAAGAAGGTCTCATTACCCTGTAGGGTTGTCAGAGGAACAGGTGCACAGCACTACGGTTGGTTTTGCTGTTTCTCTCTGGCAAAATTGTAGAACTTGTTTATACACAACTTGACCTCCTTCTGAATTTCTTAGCTGTCAATGCATTATGTATGCTGTTCTTTCTTCCATTATCTACATAACACCATCCAGAGAAATTCTAAAATAGCTTCTACTGCCAACTGTATGATAGCAGTTTACAATGTAGATATGCCTTAAAACCACGGCATTCTCCACTGAAAGGCCTGGTTAAAAAAAAAATAAATTTCAGCAGTAATCCATATTCTAGTCCTCTGAAGACCTATATCAGTCTCTGGGCCTTACTAAGAATGTGACAATGACAATGCTCACGGTTACAAAGCAAGCCATACCAACCTCAGATGTAACTTTTATCCCAGACAAGTAAGAAGGTCCAAAGACTCAATAAAATTCACTAGGAATTTCCTACTAGCATTCCAGTTGTTCCCTGCACTAATCAAAGTGACTAGAATGAAGGGACTGGGATAAAGTCCTATCACCCTTCCCTCTAGAGCACAGGAGAGCATAGGAAACTTTGGAGGCACTTTGCCTCGCACTCCAGACTAACCCAGACTCTCCCACACTACAAAGTACCAGGTGAGAATTACTTTGCTGAAGCAGAGCTCTATGAGACCATCAACACTCAAATCCACCTGCAGTAAGAACACCTGCACAGTGGGTGAAAACACCACAGGTATCACATCACCTCCTCATAGCAGAGGAACAAAATTTTCGGCCTTGTTTGCTCACACCTGAGAATGCCAGGGCCAAAGCACTCTCATGTGTAGAATCCCAGAAAGAGCCAACGTGTATGTCTCAAACACTGAGAGCCAGATGGCTGTGGAGCCATCCAAGGATCAGTGGTAGCAGCAGAAAACGACTGTCAGTAAGAACATGCCATGGGAAAGAACAAGACGTGACTGGAGAAGGGGGTCGTGTGGATGCAGCACTTTTCCTTGTTCTATTTCCTGGAGATAAACACAAGCACAGCACAAGCACAGGAGAGACGCCAAGATATGGGCATGGACTGTAAGGGGGGATCAAGACCAGCCAAGAGCCCTGAAGCCCCATGACTCATTTCCAGAAAGATCAGAAAAGAACGGGCTGCACACAATGACCAATTCCCATAGAAAGCGAGGAACCTGCCTCCAGGATGGGGAAACCTGTCCATAAAAAGGTACCAGCCCACCAAGCCCAGGTGGTATCCCCAGGACCCTGAACCCCCTGCCGTGGGGTGTCAAGGACTAACATACCAGTGCGCCAAGCGTGTAACTTGCTAATAAAACTTTCTGACTGTTTGCGGGCCCTCCGACTCCCGCCGTTCCTTCCCACCACGATCATTCATTCCCTGAACCCTGGGCGCTCCCTTCCTACCCCTCAAGGGCGGGCCGTCACACCGCTGCCCGCACCGCAGCTCCCCCCGCGGCACCGCCGCCCGCCCTCCCAGCCCAGCCCAGCCCAGCCCAGCCCAGCCCGGAGGAGGACGCCTGTTCCTTGCAGCGCCACCCCGCCCCGCTGTCGCGGCGCTCACACCCGTCCCCCCCTCACGCCCTGGGTCAGAAGGGCCCCGGAGCGGGGGGCTCCCGCCGTGCGCTCACCAGCCCGCGGTCCAGCTCGGCTTGGCCCCTGCCGGCGCCCGTAGGAGCTCGCACGTACTCGGCGTAGCGCAGGCCCTCGCCAGAGCCCATGGCGCCCGCCATGATGGAGCCAAGAGCGGCCGGTGCTACGGGCCGGGCGGAGGGACAAACCGCGCGGCGGGACGGACCGCGAGAGGGGGCGGGGCCGAGACCAGAGCGTCGCATCCTAGGGATAAAGCGGAATGAAGGGATAAGCGATAATTTATGCGTTAAAAAAAAAAAAAATTATAAGGAGGAGAGAAAACACTCGGACCGCACGGAAATGATTCGTGTCCATCTCCTGAATACAGGATTTTAGGCGGGGGTATGGGCGGGACACACACACACACACGTACGTAAAGGAAAATATAAAGACAAATTAATCTGGGGGGGAAAAAAACCCACACTAAAAATGCATTTTTATGTTAATATGCTTGCACTTCGGTTGGTGGCTGCATATGTTTCGCTGTGTTTGCGTTTTGTTTTCCTGAAGGTGCTGACGCTTCATATCGCTTCTGCAAACCTCCCTCAGCTGACCCCTCCCTGTGCAGAAGTTGTCAATCAGCATCAGTCCCGTACCACAGTCTGTGAAATACTCGGTCCCGTTCCAGTACAGCAGCGGAACAGCTTTTCCCTTTTTGCTGGTTTTCCTTCTCTCCTACCTGGTCGTATTGGGGATGGAATTGAATCACCTGCAGATTGCTAAGCGGTGTGACTGGACAAAAATAATTGCTCTCCTTACCTCCTATTTCAAATGACAATTGCTCTTCTGAGCATCTCTAAGTGTCTTTTTAAAGTACCATAAAGGTGAGTTGACCATATATAGCATTTCATTAACCTTAGGCAGATATATAAATTCAGCTTTCTACTGCACAGAAGTAATTGAGAGTTGTATGATGATCCATTTGTCAAGAAATGCATTCATTTTTACTTCTTCACTGGACATATAACATACAATCATATACAATTACTTTTTAAACCTTCAGTGGAATTGTATTTCTTGGAAACTTAAACCTATTTTAAACTCATTAAAATGTCCCCAACTAATCATTTTCTGTTCATTTATTTGCATAGAAATAATGCAGAGCAGCATGTCGCTACTCTTTTGGTTAGCAAACCTGGTTTAAAAAAAAATAAATTTAAAGTTTTGGAATCTAGGGTCTTTTGCTTAATTTTCCAAGCTGATCCCAGAGACCCCTGAACAGGTCGAAGTCTGCTCTCATCAATTCAGAGCTGTGATTCTGTTAATTTGCCCTAAAACTACTGTCTCATGGTCACAGCAGCCAAATTCTTCCTCATTTGTAAGTATCAGAACCAAAAGAGCATCTCCCCTTTTCAGTTCCTTGATTACCTTCACAAGGAAGTTATAATCAATAAACTCAAGACATATATCATTGTAAGGGCTCAAAATTTGGCTTTTAAAGACACTGTGTCATACTATGGTCTGTGCAAGCTCTGAGGTGGAAAACAGTGCTCTGAACATCTTCCTCCTATTACCAGCCATGCTACTACTACTAATGCTACTATTTTCTGGACAGTGAGCCTCAGGAAGCATATTGATTAAGCAGAACAAACCAGATAATCAACACAAGGAAAATTTATCTTTTGCCAGGAGTGAAAGGCTGTAGGTTCTTTCCCTTGCAGGCAAGGAGGGGAGGAAGTAAAGCGGTTAGGTCCTTGGTTATGGTTCTCTCCCAAAGCTCCTCTCAGCATGGCGCAGCTGTGTGCTCTGTTATGCACAGGATGGTGCTGGTAGAGACAATCTGTCCATT